CTTTATATGTAGTTGGGACTCATACATATTAGTTAAGTAATTAATGATTTCTTTTCTCCTCCAAATCTAATCCTCCTAAGGTTTTTTGGTGAAACCTAAGAATCGGCACATCTTTCTCTTCGGGCTGGCTCCGTCCCTACCAGCAGTTTAGGCCAGATGACCATCCTCTCTCACCTGGAACTCTCAGCTTTTATGGTCTCCTTGCTTCAACTCTTCCTCATTTACTCAGTCCGTTCATCACATTACAGTCAGAGTGATTTCACTTTTTTCCAAGTGTAAATATTATCACAGCACTCCCACGCTTAAGAAACAATGCTTCAGTGACCTCTTCTCCTTTTATGTTAAAGACCAAAGATGATCCTTCCTACCTCACCTGCCTGGTTCAAACTGGCTGCTTTCTTGGGGGTTGATGGCCATCTTTCAGCTAGGGCCATGTGCTACCTGGCATCCTCCTCTTCCCTCTCCTCTTCCTTGCCTATTAACTCCTAGATCTGTTCAAAAACTGCTTTCATGGGGTGTGTGGGTGGCGCACTTGGTTAAGCCTCAGACTTGGGCTGAGATCATGATCTCATGGCTTGTGGATTTGAGCCCTATGTGCTAACAGCTCACTTTGGATTCCGTGACTCTCTTTCTCTGCCCCTCCCCAGCTCAAGTTCTGTCTCTCCTTCAAAAATAAATATTTAAAAAAAATTGTTTTTAATTGCTTTCTCAAGGGACACATTTCGAGATCCCCAGTCTAAATCAGGTCCCTTCCATAGTACTTCCCACAGTTGTATTAGCTTGAATCGAAAGACATTTCCTATATTTGGCTTTTTAACTTAACAGAAGTGGAAATTCGATGTGGTTAAACCTAATGATTAAGTGACTCTGAATTGTTTGGTATTTGTTTCCAATTGGAATGGAGGCTCTGTGAGGCTAGGGACTGTAAGCCTTGCTCCCTGTGTGCCCAAGATCTAGCACAGGGTCATATGTAGCAAATATTTATTGAATAAATGAGGAAGCTTTGTATAGGAATTAATTTCAGTGTCTTAAATGTGTAGTTCATTCTTCTTTCTGTTTGCTGAAAAGCATCCTCAATATCAGTAGTCACAACAGTTTTACTTTTTTTGCTTTTTTTGTGACCTCACGGTTTTTTTAAAATTTTTTCTAACATTTATTTATTTTGGAGACAGAGAGACAGAATTTGAGCGGGGTAGGGGCAGAGAGAGAGGGAGACACATAATCTAAAGCAGGCTCCAGGCTCTGAGCTGTCAGCACAGAGCCTGATGCAGGGCTCGAACTTCCGGACCATGAGATCATGACCTGAGCCGAAATCAGGCGCTTAACCACCTGAGCCACCCAGGTGCCCCATTGTGACCTCACATTTGGACCTGAATTTTTCAGAAGCAATACTTCAGGCTCCCCTACTCTGCTTGTCCATAATCTCATCCTTATTCAAGAATGGGGAAGGAAACTCATTTTTTAAGGCTTATCTCAAAAGTAACTTCCTTTGTAAAATAAAACCTTAAAGCCATCTTTCGTGGCTTAGTCTTCACCTCTTTCAGAAACCAGTGTAAGACTTGGAAGCATCCGGTCCTGTTCCTGGGATAATTTTGGAATGGAATTGTGTTTCAACCTAGAGTTCCACAGGAGTCCTCGGAGTTCTCCTTTGCCGTGGGATTTCCTAGTCTTCCTGTCTTTTCAATTGCCTTATCACCTTCATGTGTTACATTGATTTCCTTTCTTGACTTTTCATCCCCATATGCCTATATGGTCAGGGCCATATCTTACACATCCTTTATCTTCTGCAGGGTCTTGTATAGTAGGGCCTTAAAAATATCAGTGGAATAGGGGCGCCTGGGTGGCTCAGTCGGTTAAGTGTCCACCTGCGCTCAGGTCATGATCTCACGGTTTGTAAGTTCGAGCCCCGCATCTGTCTCTGTGCTGACAGCTACCTCAGAGCCTAGAGCCTGTCTTTGGATTCTGTGTCTCCCTCTCTCTCTGTCTGTTCCCTGCTCACGCTGTCTCTCTTTCTCTCAAAAATAAATTTAAAAATTAAAAAAAAATAAATATCACTGGAATGAATTAATTTTTGGAAAATAAAGAAGTAATGCCTGGTAGATACCAGAGTTTAAAAATGTGCTGGTACTCCGTGTAGTCAGTGAGGTAAAAAGGGCTTCTTTGCTACACTGTACATGAGGAAAGGCAAGTAGAGGGTTCAGAGCCAAAGGAATTTGTTAGAGACATCTTTTGGAAGGGTTGATTGTGCATCTAAAGGTAAACTATAAGGGCGCCTGGGTGGCTCAGTCGGTTAAGCATCTGGCTTCGGCTGAGGTCATGATCTCGCGGTTTGCGGGTTCGAGCCCCACATCAGGCTCTGTGCTTATAGCTAGCTCAGAGCCTGGAGCCTGTCTTTGGATTCTGTGTTTCCCTCTGTTTCTGTCCCTCTCCGGCTCACGCTGTCTTTTCTCTCTCTCAAAAATAAGTAAAAACATTAAAAAAAAAAAAAAGTTGAACTATAATTTGATGGAGAGGAAGTTTGGAAGGCATTTAAGAATGAAGGAATGTGGGGCACCTGGCAGGCTCTCTGGGAAGAGCATGTAACTCTTGGGTCCTGAATTTGAGCCCCATGTTGGGTGCAGGGATTACTAAAATAAATTTAAAAATTGGTGGGGGTGCGTCTGGGTGGCTCAGTCAGTTAACATCTGATTTGGGCTCAGGTCCTGATCTCCCGATTCATGAGTTTGAGCCCTCTGTCAGGCTCTCTGCTGTCAGTGTGGAGCCCGCTTCAGATCCTGCCCCACTCAAAATTAAATAAACATTAAAAAAAAGTTATTTTTAAAAGATTGAAGGAATGAGCTGCTGAAAAGTTTAAAATCACATTATGAACAGAACATCTGTTTTACTATTTATCGGTTTTAAGAAGTGTCTTTCTTTCAGGGAGAAAAAGTGGGTGACTGTGGGTGACACGTCCCTTAGGATATTTAAATGGGTTCCTGTAACAGACAGCAAGGAGGTAAGTGTGGAAGAAAATCAAAACAACAAACAGGTACCATTTCCTTCCTTCCTTTCTTTCCTTGATTGTCTCTTAATTATAAAGGAATTTATTTCCCCAGAATTGAGGTGAAAGTACTTTAGGGCACCCTCTGTGGTTGATCTGTGGAAAGCCTCTCTCTCTACCCTCTTTATTTCCTTCCCTTAATGCATTCTTCTTTTCCAAGGCTTGGTGAACCACAGCCCAGGCCTGCTCCCTGTGATAGTCAATATGGTTTAATTAGAGCATAGCTTATGCCCATTGATTTCCTTATTGCCTGTGGCTGCTTTTGAGTTCTAATGGCAGAGTTGAGTCATTGGCGTAAGACCTAAAGGCCCACAAGGCCTGAAATATTTCTTATGTGGCCTTGTAAGAGGTTTGCTGATTCTTGCTCTTAGCTGATTAGCTGTCCACTATAGTGTATTATATGTGTCTTAAATGTATATATCCTTTTCTGATTCCTCTTGCATGGGTTTCTGTGGATGGCTGTGTATTCTTGGAAACTACATAGCATTGTATCATGTTCGTGTTTTAAAATTTGTAGAGCATTGTGCTAAAAAACTGGTGTCTTTTCATCAGCCTCGTTTTTGAGAACTCTCCACTTTTCTGTAACTGTAAATAGAATTATTAACTTCGAATCTTGCATAGTATTTTCTTATATGCAGTGGTCACATCTACTTTGCTTGAGTGATAAACATGTAGATTGTCTCCAACTTTTTTTCCTCGAATTGTTTTTAAAAAGCTCAAATATCGGGGCGCCTGGGTGGCTTAGTCGGTTAAGCGTCCGACTTTCGCTTGGGTCATGATCTCACGGTTCGTGGGTTCAAGCCCCGCGTCGGGCTCTGTGCTGACTGCCAGCTCAGAGCCTGGAGCCTGTTTCAGTCTGTGACTCCCTCTCTCTCTGACCCTCCCCTGCTCACGCTGTCTCTCTCTCTCTCTCCTAGAAATAAATAAAAAATGTTAAAAAAAATTTAAAAAAATGTTTAAAAAAAAAAAAAAGCTCAAATATCAAACACAGACAGTAAATAAAACGTAAATGTGTCGTCAGTATAACAGGAAAACATAAAGCTAGTACCCTTGTGAAAACCACCCAAATCAACAAACAGACCATTACCAACTTCCCCAGAGGCGTGTGTTTGACTCTTGCCGGCGTCCCCAGCCCCACTAGAAGAAATGTCTTTCGTACTTTTGCTTTGCTTACCACTTTTCTAGTCCTTTGTAAATATTTGTAACTTTATATAAACAGCATCATGAAGTATCTCTTTTCCTGTATCTTGCCTTCTGTGCTCAGCATTAGGTTTGTACCATTCACCCATGTTGTCTTTGGAGTCATTTGTCCCTTTTCATCGCTGCATGGAATTTTATCACAGGCCCGTGCCCTGATTTACCTCTCTGGTCCTCCTGTAGATGGCTATTTGGGTTGTTCCCCGTTTGGGGTAATAGGAACAACGCTCCTGTGAACATTCTTATTTAGCGTATGTGTCAGGCTGGGCATGGGTTTTCCTAGGAGCTGTTCCTACAAGTGGAATTGCTGGGTCTTACAGTATGTGTGTGTTGACCTATAGGAGCTAATGCTAAACCGTTTCTCAGACTGGTTATGCCACTTTACACTCCCACCAGGAATAGAGTTCTCATTGCTCTCAATCCTCTACAGCTGGTATTGTTACTTATATGTGAAGATAAGTCATGATTTTAGTTTGGTAACTGCTTATGTAATAACTAATGAAATTGGACACATTTTTAATGTTTAGGAATGAACCTTTTGGATTTCTTATTTCAGGAAGCACCTCCTTAAGTCTCTTTGATTGTTTTTTTCTATATGACTTATGGGAATTCTGTATTCTGGACCCAAAGCCTTCATTGATTGAATACTATCCATAGCTTTTTCCATTCCGTGGCTTGTCTTTGCACTCTCTTTAGGCTGCCTTGACTAACAGAACTTTTAAATGTTTTAAAGCCTTTTCCTTCTTTGAGGCCACAAAGATCATCTTCATACAGTCTTCTAAAAGTTCATTATTCACTTCTCATTTATGACAACACCTGGCACTGATTTTTGTATATTTTCAATTAGCAATAATCGTGCCTTGGATAAACCTCATTGGCTATGATACTGCCACTGCGCAAAGCTTGATTAATGTGTATTTTGAAGTAGGGGCCTGATTTCATTTTTTTACGCACGGACGTGCATTTGTCCCAGCACTAGTTATTGAAAAGACTGTTCTTTTCCTCCTGCTCTGTAGAGCCACCTTTGTCATATTTCAAGTGTCCAAATGTGCTTTCTACCAAAAACTCTAGCTTTTTGGTAGCATAGATGACACCCCTTAAACCATTCCATCCTTCTGGAGGACTTGTGGGTTAGATGCCCGGGAGCAGGCTTGCTGTCCCGGGCCTGCACATGAATTGATACTACTGACTGCTGTCCGATCTCTCTTCAGAAGGGCTGCCCCAGTGTAGTTAGCCCACTTCCTCAGGATGCTGGGGTTTCACACCGCCATGACTTCATGGCATTTGATACTACGGATCCTGCCAGTCTGTTCAAGCTGTTTATTTTGCGTTTCTCTGATTACTCAGGAGGTTGATAATTTTCTCTCTTCAGGTTTCCATTCAGATTTCCTTTTTATCCATTTAAATATCCTCTCTTGTGATTTCTTTTTAATTTTTTTTTGTATTGGGTTTTCTGTCTTTTCTGATTTGCATGGATTCGTTGGTATCATAGATACAGAAAACTCTGGTCACTTTTGTATATTGTAGATATCTTTGTCTGACATGTTACTGTCTAGAACTTTGTCAACAGCGTCCTTTAAATTTGTGTCAAACTAATCAATTCTTTTGTACGGTTTTTGCTTTCTGAATCTTGTTTGAAAATTATTCTCCACTATTTGGTTATAAAGAACATCATCTCCTGTTAGGTTGTTTTTTTGTTTTTGTTTGTTTGCTTTTTAGGTTTATTTATTTATTCTGAGAGAAACAGAGACAGTGTGAGCCAACGAGGGGAAGAGAGAGAAGGAGAGAGAGAGTCACAAGCAGGCTCCACACTGTCAGCACAGAGCCAACGCAGGGCCGCACTCACGAACCATTAGATTGTGACTGGAGCCGAAATTAAGAGTCAGTCCTGTTAGGTTTTTTATTGTTGTTGTTGTTGTTTTTTAATGATGGAGATATGAATCTAATTTTAATTTTCCTTCATACAGACAGCTATTTCCCCTAATGCTATTTACTCTTTCTCCACTGATTTGGTACGTCATCTGTGTTGTGTGCCGTATTCATATCTAGGTTGTTTTTCAGCTCTCCATTCTGTTTTGTTGTTATTTTATCTCCTCCTGCACTGGAATGATTTTTATTTATCATCAGTTTTTAGTTTTTATTAATATTAAGTAGGGCGAGTTTTCTCTCTTGCTGTAGGTTTATTGGGAAGATGGCCTTTATTAAAATAAAAATTCCCAGGGTGCCTGGGTGGCTCAGTTGGTTGAGTATCCCACTCTTGATTTCAGCTCAGGTCGTGATCCCAGGGTCGCGGGATCGAGACCACATTGGGCTCAGCTCTGAACATGGAGCCTGCTTGGGATTCTCTCTCTGCCTCTCTCTCAACCCCTCTCTCCCACTAGTGCACACACACTCTCTCTCTAAAATATTAACAATAATAACAATAAAATAAATATGCCTTCTCTTGTTAGGTTTCTAAGAGTTACTAAAAATTATGAATAGATGTTGGACGCTATCCAGCTGCTTTTCCTGAGCTTACTGAAATAAAATGTTCATGTGATTTTCCTCCTCTAATGTTTAATGTATTAGTATGGTGAATTATATTAATAAAATTTCTGATGTTGACACTTTTACATTCTTGCATGCCTAAGAGAAATTCTACTTGGATATGCTTCCACCCATATGACGTGGTATTCAATTCACATTTAAGATATTTCATGAGATACTTGCATCTGGGTCATAAATGAAATTGGTCTATAATTTTCTTTTAATATGCTATCTTTACCTTGTTATGGTATTAAGAATTACATTAACGTCCTAAAACAAATTAGGCAATTGTGCCTTTTTTTTGATTTCTAGAACAAAGTAAGAAAGTTTGGTAGAACTCACTTTTAGTACTTTCTGGGCGTTTCGTTGAGAGATGGTCATTATGGTGGTTTTAATGGTGATTGATGTATTTAGATTTTCTCTTTTTTTTGTAATTATTTTGCATTTTATGTATTTCCCAGAAATTGGTTGTTTAAGAGCGTGTAGTGCTAGGGCCTCCCCCTTTCTTCATTTCCTCATGAGTGTGTAGCAACAAGGCTGGGCACTTCCCGGCTGGCCAGTAATGCTAAACTTTTGGCAGTGCACTCAGTCTTGTCTAATAAAGAATTAATTGGCCCTGTTCAAATGCCAGCAATGACCCTGGTATGTAGTTATTCATAATATTCATATTACCGTAATATGATCCAGTTTATGGTCTCTCCTAAAATCTTTATCCAAAAATCTTGTAATTTTTGTTCATCTTTTCTTTTGTTTGCTTTGTTCTCTATTTCATTAGTTGTTGCCATTGTTATTTCCTTTTATGTTTTTTTGGGTTTACCCTGTTGTTCTTTTTCTAGCTCCTTGTATTAAACTTAGCACTTTATTTCTAGTTTTGTTTTCTTTTCTACACAATACATTTCACTTTAGGGATGTCTGGCTGGCTCAGTCAGTGGAGCGTGCAACTCTTGATCTCGGAGTTGTGAGTTTGAGCCCCACGTTAGGAATAAAGTTTACTTAAATTTTTTTTCACTTTAGTCGTCTCCCAAATTTTCACATATATGCATGTCAAAATGTCATCAATAGTGTAATTGTTTTGGGGCACCTGGGTGGCTCAGTCGGTTAAGCGTCCAACTTCGGCTCAGGCTATGATCTCACGGTTCGTGGGTTCGAGCCCTGTGTAGGGCTCTGTGCTGACAGCCAGTTCAGAGCCTGGAGCCTGTTTCAGATTCTGTGTCTCCCTCTCTCTGACCCTCTTCTGCTCACGCTGTCTCTCTCTCAGAAATAAACAAAAACATTAAAAAAAATAGTGTAATTGTTTTAAGTTTTTCATTAATTCCTCTTTAGTTTCCTCTTTTGTGAGATTATGACCTGAGCCGAAGTTGGACGCCTAACTGACTGATCTGCCAAGGCGCCCCTTTAGTTTCCTCTTTAAAGTTTATTAGTTTTTAAAAATATTTATTTATTTATTTTTGAGAGAAAGCATAAGCAGGAGAGGGACAGAGAGAGAGAGGGAGACACAAAATCTGAAGCAAGCTCTCGGTCCTGAGGTGTTAGCGCAGAGCCCTGAAGAGGGGCTCGAACTCACAAACCATGTTTGATCTGGACTGGTACATGATTGATTTTTGGACCATTTACTTGTGATTAAAACAAGTATAGTCTCTAGGTATGAAATTAAACAATAAACAAGCATTTCTTATGTTACCCAGATTTTCTGTATCCTTATTTTTTGTACGTTTGGGCTAATATTACAGTTGCATTACTCACACCAAATTTCCTCATGTTGGTGGTTCTTCAAAACAACTTTCCAGTATCCTTTTCTTTCTGAGGAGACCTACTGTGTTTTATTGAAATTCTCATGTCCTGTTAGTGTCCTTCTTCCGGTGTATTTGTTCTGTTTCTCGTCTTTCCTGGTGCTTGTTTCCTCCGGCGTCTGGTTAGTCTCTTCTGTGCACTCTGTGCACTCAGTTTTTATTCCCAGGGGACTCTGGGCTGCCGTGGCCAGCAGTATGTAACTGAGGGAGGACGTAAGCCCGGGCTCTGGGTTTCCTTCCTCTGAATGAATTTAGGCCATTGTGTGAGCCTTGGGATTCAGCCTTTCCCTTATCCCCTCTCCCTCTCCCTCTTCCTCTGCCCACCACCCGCCTCCCCAGGGAAGTCCCTAGTACCAGTCTTCCAGGTGCCACTTTGTCTGGATGCCATGCATCCTTCCTTGTCATTGCCAGCCCCAGGGAGCTGGTGGGTGGAAGTTAGGGGGGCTCTGGAACCACCCTTTAATTTTCATCCAGCCTGGCTCTAGTGGTGCCACTACCCACAAGGGGCTAAAGGTCAGGAACTTAAATCTCCTGGTACGTGGGGAAGGGGACGCACTGGGAGAAAGCCCCACCCCACCCCAGTGCGTTTCGCACGCGTAAGCCCCTGGCCCTTTCCTAATTCAAATTCTGCCTGCCAGGGGCACTTGAGTAGCTTAGTCTGTTAGGCTCTCTCTCTCTCTCTCTCTCTCTCTCTCTCTCTTTCTCTCTCTCAAAATAAACACTTAAAACAATAACACATTCTCCCTGCCCAGGACCCAGCTCCCTTTCTTCTCCCAAGGGCTTCTCACAGTGTTTGCTGAGGTCCATCAGTTTATCTGTCCTCCAGTGGTCCACGGTGGTGTGCCATCCTCTAAGGTACCAGTATAGACCTGCTACATTAGGCAGAATGGGAGACGATGATCAAATTGGTGAAGAGGAAGTGGGAAGAATCCAAGGGAATGGGACACCGCTGACCAGAGAGTAGATTGGCACAGACTTCACGCGGGTCAGGCTGTTGTCACGTGTGCATTGAAAAGTTTTCAGTGATGGCGGCGCTAATGAACTGCATGGCGGGAGTCCTTCCACAGTGTATGGTCCCCTCAGTGTGTACTTTAAATGCCTTACAAGTTTAGTTGTCAGTTATACCTCAGTACAGAGGACGGGGCGGGGGGTAGTTTTCAAAATGTTTATCCCTTTGATCTAGAAGTTTTATCTCTAGGAATTTATTTTCAGGAGATAATCATGATGTGTACAAGGTACATCTACACTGTTGAGCATTACAATATGGTTCAGAGTGTTTGAGAATTGCAAGCAAAATAAAGACTGTATTGTGGAGAATTCATTAAGTTATCGTGCACGGTTATCTTGTAAAGCTGTGTAACCATTATAAAAGATGTTATAGCAGTGGCAAAGGAAAAAAATTTTTAAAGATTAAAATTAAAATTAAAAGATTATTTTTTTAATGTTTATATTTACTTTTTAAATTCTTAAAAAATTTTTTAATGTTTTATTTATTTCTGTGAGAGGGAGAGAGAGAGAGAGAGAGAGCGTGAGCAGGGGAGGGTCAGAGAGAGAGGGAGATACAGAATCTGACAGAGCTAGTCGTCAG